TGAAAAGTCTGCTTTAATTCTGATGGGCTTTCCTTTGTATGTGATTTGTTTCTTTTCTCTTACTGCTTGTAGTATTTTGTTCTTCAGTTGGGTTTCTGGGATCTTGATTATTATATATCTAGGTGTAGATTCTTTTTTATTTAGCTAATTGGGGTCCTATATGCCTCAGTTATCTGAATGTCAAATTCTTCCCCTCTGTTTGGGAAGTTTTCTGTCATTAATTCTGCAAACAGCTTTTTAAAGTCATTTGTATTTTCTCCTGCTACTTCATGTATCCCTATCAGTCTTATGTTATTCTTCTTTGCATCATCTAGGAGTTGTTGGATCTATTTCTCATGATCCCTTACTGTTTTTAAGAGGCCTCTCTTTTCATAGTCACTGACTGCAATCTTATCTTCTATATCTGAGAGTCTATCTTCGCATTCTTTTATTCTGTTGCGTGCACTTTCAATGGAGTGTTTAATCTCCTGGATATCTGTTTGAATCTGTTTTATGGATTCCATTTCTTTCCTATGTTGGGCGTTTATTTTTTCCATTTCTTTCTTATGCTGGGCCTTCATGGCTTCTATCATGGTCCTGAGCTCATCTATTTTTTTGTCAGTTTCTGCTCTAGAGTCTCGAATCATGACTTCCATTTTGCTTACTATTTCTGTGGTTATCTGGGAAATTATTTCTGTTTTGAATTTTTCTAGAGCCCGATTGATCTGTTTGGTTACTTCCTGTGCTTTGAGTTCAGGGTGTCCTGGTGGTTCACTATCGGCCTTTTCATCCTCATTTGCCCTACTGTTTGCCATTGGTGAACTGGAAGTCTGTCCTTGTGTCTTGCTTAAGTGTTTTCTCATTTTTATTTTTGTTGTGGGACTGTCCTTGGTTTAATCTCTGAGTTATCACCCAAATCTTCCTGATATATTTTTGCCCTAGCTTCTGTGTCTCTAATGACACACAAACATTCTCATCTTCATAACATCAGAGAAACAGCTCATCAAATCAACTGCAATGCTTTATCCCAACTGATACAATCAGCAACACATTAAGATCAAGCACAACTTGGACACTGACCACCTGTGGTAGTAGTCACTAGTCTATCACCCTTAAATCATTTGAATTAAATTGAAATCAAGAAGCAGTCCAGAACATGTCTGCAGTGAACAAAATTTCAATATCGTGTATTTACCATTTAATGGCTCAGACAGAGCGAGGATGCAAGGCCTCTGGTCTCAGTTAGCTGATGGCTGAACCCCATGATGCTGACTGACCTCAGGCTGCAAGGCCCAGATTGAGTTCCCCAACCTTGTGAATGGTTGAACTCCACAACGTTCTATTACAGGTTTCCCAGGCCCTTTCTTTAAAGATGTTCAAAGTTGGGAACTCAGAAAAATACCCTTGATGACCACCTCTGCCTCTACAGAGTGGGTCCAAAGACTGGCACAGTCAGGACTGGTCTGAGAGTGCGGGGGGGGGGCTTATGGAGGTTCAGGGGTTCAGGGGCACCTGTGCAGCTACCTCCCCGCGCTTGAGCGATGGCAGCTGGGTCGGGAGCAGGCGTGGCTCTCCTTCCCGCAGTGGATCCAGGACCAGGCTCCCCTCTATATTACTTTTAATAATTGAAATTCATTCCATTTAAAGAAGATCCCACAACTTCTTTCCAGGTCCCATTCAATTTTATAAATGAAGAGATGGAGATTCAGAAAATTTGTGGAACTTTTAGTAGATCACCCCTCAATGGGTAGAAGGATGAAGATCTATTCATTGCATACAAGGTGTTTTTTAAAAACATTTTTGTAGTATTTTGCTGAGCTACATCCCAAGCCCTTTTTATGTTGAGGAAAGGTCTTAACTAAGTTTCCCAGGCTAGACTTGAACTTGTGATTCTCCTGCCTCAACTTCCTGATCATCTAGGATTACATGTGTATGTCACCTTGTCCATAGATAGAATTTTTTATTTTATTTTACTTTGGAATAAAGTGTATTATATTGTAGTTGTTCCCCCCAATACTAAGGATTGAACCCAGGGCCTACACACTGAGCCAAATCTCTAACCCTTTTTAAAATTTTTTTATTTTGAGAAAAGAGTTTCACTAAGTCAACTAAGTTGCCCAGGCTGGGCTTGAACTTGCCACCCTCCTGCCTCAGCCTCCCAGCGTGCTGGGATTACAGGTGTGTGCCACCATGCTGGGCTTTCGTGTATTTTTTTATAGTTAAGCATAGAGTACTTAACATGAGATTGACCCTCTAAAGTCTTGACATATATAAAACATGACTTTTGGTTGTAGGTACAGATTATGCAGTGAATTGCTACAGTTTATTCATCTGGTTTGATGGAAACTTTATGCCTAAACTCCACACTTCTCTCTACCCCAAGCTCCTGGGAACCACACGTTTAATGTTTCAATTCCTATGTATTTGATATTTCAGATGCCTCAGATCAGTGGAGTCATGGCGCAGTGTTCATTTTTCTGTGATTGGCGGGCGATGGGTGCATTTCACTTAGCATAATGTCTTCAAGGTTCATCCGTGTTTCACAAATGGCAAGATTTCCCTTTTTGTGTGTGTGTGTGTGTGTGTGTGTGTGGTCCTGGGGATCAAACTCAGGACCTTGTGCTTGCAAGGCAGGAGGTGTAACCACCGAGCTAAATCCCCAGCAAGATTTCCTTAAAGACTAACTAGTACTCCATTTATGTTTGTGCCACATTTTCTTTATCCATTTCATCTATTGGTGGACACTTGATTTGTTTATGCCTCTTGGCTACTGTAATATTGAAATGAACATAGAAGTACTGATATCTCTTTACAATCTCCATCTCTCTCTTTTTTGTTTGTTTCTGTTTTTGTTTTTGTTTTTGAGACAGGGTCTCACTATGTAGTTGAGACTGGCCTGGAACTCACTATGTAGCCCAGTCTGGTCTGGAGCTCACAGTGATCCTCCTACCTCAGCCTCCCGAGTGCTGGGATTACAGGCATGAGCCACCATGCCCGGATCCCCATCTCATTTTTTTTGGGGGGGGGTACCAGGGATTGAACTCGGGTCCTTGTGCTTGCAAGGGAGGTGGCAGAACCATTGAACCAAATCCCCGGCCCTTAAATTTTTTTTTTTTTGGTACCGGGGATCAAACTCCCATCTCATTTTTAAAATAAAGTCCCTATTCATTTCCCCATAGCCTACAGCAAATATTATAAATGGCTACTAAATATCCAGTTGACAATATAAATTACTCTTTTCCCAGCTGTTGACATATATATTGATTGTGTTTAAATTTTCATTCTCATAATTAAGACTGTTGAGAACATCTTTGTGCCTAATTTTTCTCAGTAATTTTAATCATGATTAAAATAGAAATCCCAGGAGCCTGGTGTGGTGGTTGACACTTGTAGTCCCAGCACTCTGAGAGGCTGAGGCAGGAGGATTAACAATTCAAGCCCAGCCTGGGCACTGTAGGGGCTTAGCAGCAGCCTGTCTAAAAAAGGCGAGGGATTTAGCTCAGTGGCACTGCATCTGGCAAGCATAACATCCTGAGTTTGATCCCTGGTTTGAAAAAAAAAAAAAAATGTAAGGGCTAGGACTAGAGCTCAGTGTGAAGGCCTTGGGTTCAATCTCCAGTGCTGAGAGGAAAAAGAAATAGGGGGACTCTCAGGGGCTGGGGATGTGATCAGGGGTAAAGTATTTGCCTGACATCTGTAAGGCTCTGGGTTCAATCCTCAGCACTGAAAAAAAAAAATCAGAATAAGTAGAATCTCAGGCAAGAGCATCACCAACTAGTATGAGTTCATAGCTGTAGCTGTACATAAGATGAAATCATACATGAGCGAGGTTCAAGGCTAAAATGAAATTCAAATGTGTTATAAGAAAGAACACAGACAGCAGAGGTGGCCGTTCCACAGACAGCAGCCCCACCCGGAGAAGGCCTTCCATTTGTATGGGGTCCCAAAAGGCTGCCATCAGTCATGCCTGGAACTGTGCAAGGGGCGGGGTCTCTGGTTGGCTGAGGTCGAGTTCAGGTAACCTGCCTGCGTCATGTCCATTGGCCTGCACCCTGCACCCTCTCTCAGGAAGGCAGTGGCTGGCTCCAGTGGTTAACCTTGTGCCCTCTTCTCCCTCGCATCACCACGAGGTGCGGAGGCCTGCTTGTTTCCTCTGGGGCAGCTGCCTCAAACTCCTGTTAACTCTTAACCCAGTTAAACACCTGGACCCTCCAGTTCAACTGGCTTCAAATCCATCTCTAGCCTGTTTGCTGTTTGGCTGGAGCAAGTGACTTGGCCTACTTTAAAGTCCTGTTAGCTCCCCACCTTGAGAGGATATATTTCCACGTGTCTGTCCCTCTTTCCAAAGTTAAACTTAAATCTTCCGGGTGTATGGGAGATTTGGGACTTTCTGCCAAGGCCAGGCGGAGGTAATAGAATAAAATAGAACAGGCCATGTACCAAAGGATATGGCCCTAGAAATGCTAGGCTGTTTTCCGAAGGGGCACCATTTAATAACAACCATTCTGGTGGCTTAAGCAGGTAAGGAGGAAAAGCACCATCTGCTATTAACCCATAGTGTTACTCCCTACGAGGACTCTTCAGCCACATTAAGACACCTGTTTCTGTCCCTTCTGGACCCATAGCCAACATGCCCATCTTCCTAGCTCATGTAGAGGGGCACACACGACAACCTGCTTCTCGGGGCTCCCCTATTCTAGGGATTATTTGTATTTTCTCTTGTCCGAAGTTCAGAGCCCCCTGAAGGAGCAAATATCACTTCGATGACGCTTTGCCTATACTGCTGGCCAGTGTCACAGTAACAAATCTTCTCTGGGGCACCCAGTTCCCACCCCGTGCCCACTCACCAAGCACCTGCTTCCTGCCAAGCACAGTTGTTGGCCACCCCCACAGCAGCTCGGGCTCCTCTGTGGCCTTGTCCAGAGACCTGGTCCTCCCTGTTTTAAGCATTTGCTCTCCATTCTGCAATAAACATGTATAAAACCACGATGAGAGCAGCGGATGTCGTTGCAGACTGTTTGATGTGTGAGTTTGAAGAGGCCTCTGAGACCTTGGGCTTCACGCCCGCCCCCTGCACTGCTGTGCGGCGAGGCCTCCCATGGACACCATGGGGTGGTTTTATTGAATGTGCTCCACACCTCCCGGGCAGAGCCACTACCTCCTTCCTGCTGCAGGGCCTTCACTCGCAGCACTGGCAGAGGCTGGTGGACTAGCCCGAGGGCCTGACTGACCGCCCTCTTCCCCCACTTCTGCTGAGTGACTGGGTAAGCACACCACACCCGACACTTTCGAGAAGGTATTTTTAAAGACTTTAAAGCTGACAAAACGGAAAAGGAAATGGCACGGATCACTGTGTGTCTGCTTACCGATCTCTTCAGGGCGTCTCTGTGGTTAGGGTCTGCAGCCCAGGGGAGGCCGCTGACCCTGCCTGGGGCTTGGCTTTTTAACCCCTACCCCGTTTCTTTATTATATACCGACAGGTTATAGCCGTACCTGTTTATGAGGTGCGCGGTGATGCGATTATTGTTTAATACAAGCACGTGACGTCCTGTACGATGAGCCGCCCTCCCACAACACTGAGTGTGCAGCGCTCAGCCCTCAGCTGTGTCTGCCGCGACTTCTCCTCTCTCACTGGGGCTCCTCACCTCTTGCCATCCCATTCCTCACCCCTGCTCTTGGTGGTTGGCCTTGAGCTTCAGGAGAGGGCAGGTTGGGTCCCGGGCCTCACCTGAATTCACCTGCACAAACACCTGCGCCCCTCACCTGTTGGGTAGCCTCCCGCGTCCCGGGCCCATCCGGAGCTCTGCCCCGGAAACGATGGTGAAGGCAGCACTGAGCTCAGCCCCGCTGGCAGAGAGCTGTGCTTCAGTCAATTAGGAAAACTACTATAGAGCGGCAAGTACTTATTTATAGAAAAAGGAGTCCTCCTTCTAAAAAGGGAAAAGTAAAATTCTCCAGCTTTTCCAGCTCATTCTTGTGCTACTTTCCAGAGGTGACTACTGGGGAGCAGTATGCCATGTATTTTCCCAAATATACCTATGCATTTGCATATGTATGCATCTATGAGCCATTTATGCAAAATGAATACACACTTAACTTATTCCTCCTAACAGTCATTTAGAATTCCAGTGCAAGGATAAACTATAATTTAGTTAATCAGGCCGCTACTGATAGGCACTTATTTCTAGTATTTTCCATTACAAATAATGCTGCAGTACTGTACCTGTTCGTGTCACATACACGTGTGAATTTAATTGTAGAGTTAATGCCCAGAAATGTCAAGTGATCACATAATTCATTCCCTGAACCACAACAAATGCAGGCTTAGAGCTGCTCCCGAGAGCACAGGTGTGTGCTGGGACTGTCTCATGGAAAGCAGCTGTATCTTTGCCTAAAAATGGAACTGCGGGGCTGGGGATTTAGCTCAGTGGCACAGTGCCTGCCTCACATGCTCAAGGTCCTGAGTTCAATCCCTGGTACCTAAAAAAAAAAAATGGAAAAAAAAATTTGAGACATGGCCTTGCTAAGTAGCCCAGACTGGGCTCTCTTGTGATTCTCCTGCCTCAGCCTCCCAGAGTGCTAAGTTTACAGGCATAAGCCACCATGACCAGCTGCAACTCTATCTTGTGCCAACCTCCCTATGTATTTGAATCTGTTTCTGACCTATTTGTTTTCTTCACTCAATCTGTTTGGTCTTTTACCTGTAGAATCCTGTTTATACATAGAGTCTGTAGTATAATACATGTTACTATCTGACATGTCTGTTTGCCTGTGTTTAATTTCTTTTAGACTTTCTCTGATTGTTTCTGATGTTTAAACTCACTCAGCTGAACTTCCCCTCCCAACACAGTTGTTATTTGATTAGGATGGTGTTGACTTTTTATAGTAAGTCAAAGAGGATTTACATCTCCATACTTCTGAGTCTCTTGCAGGAATAAACTATATCTTCCTTTTCAGGCCTGCTTAGCTGTAGGTTGGGGCCTCTGAAGATATGGACAAACACATAATAAGTGCTTTATTCAGACTACAGTACAATCCATGTCCTGGAGTTACTGCTTACTAGTAGTATCTAGTTCTGTGTGCTGGGCAATAAACACTGCATCTCCACTGATCCCATTGTGTGCATCTGTGATGTGCTCTGATCAGAACGTGTATGTCTCAGGGATAGGGGTATAGCTCAGCGGTGGAGCGCCTGTGTGGCATGTGCCAGACCCAGCAACACACGAACACACGCATGCACCACACTGTTACAGTTTCTATCCAGGTTCCTCCCAGAGCCTCTACTACTCATAAGTGGGGCTTGGGGGGGGTAATTGGATCATGGGGATGTGGTACTCATCAGTGGATTGGCCCACAGATGAGCTTCTAGCTAAATGTGATTTGGGAGGTGACTCTTGATTGGAAGAGATAGGTCACTGGGGGCGTGGGCGAGAAGGATCTCTGTCCCTTTCTTCTCCCTCGATCGGTCGGTCTCTGCTTCCTGTCTACTCTGCCATGGTGCCCTGCCTTGGAGGCAGCCAGATGTTGACTGAAACCTCTACAAACTGTGAGGCAAAATAAACCTCTCTTTGTTTAACTTGTGGGTGTTGGGTATTTTGTCCTAGCAATAAGCGAAAGTCATACTAAGACGTAGTAAAAGTATGTCTCTGATGTCCTTGCAGAATAAAACTGCACCTTTAGCATATTTCAAAAGTAATAAATGGGTTCTGTCTTTAAAATGTACTATTTACCCCTGTTTCCAGATCTTATGGCCACTTTATATGTTGTACCTAGATAAAATACTGGGTTCGGGGCTGGTACACGTCCGGTATGGTCCTGGTGGGGGGACGGTTACACATGCCGTAACTGAATGCCAGAGACTGGTAGCTTATAAACAACAGCAGCTTATTTCTCATGGTCCTAAAGGCGAGGAAGCCCCTGACCGAGGCACTGTAGGTTTGGGGTCTCTGAAGGGCTTCTCTCCCTGCTTCCAAGATGGAACCCTGTACCCTTGGAGGGGAGGAGGTCGTCCTCACATGGTGAGGAAGTGGAAGGGCAAAAAGGGCAAATTCTCCCTCTGGAGCTTCTCTTGAGCCCATTCACGAGGGCTTAGTCACCTCCCCAAGACTTCACCTCTTAGGGCCCCCACAATGGTGATTACATTTCAATAGAAATTTGGGAAGGGACGCCTTCAAACCCTCTCAGACCCTGGGAGGAAGTCTCATGTGAGGCAGGCTGCTTTTCCCCACATTTTCCCTTCTCTTCTTTTGTTTTTAATGCTCAGTCTAATCCCAAAAGTCTATCTTTGCCATGTTTTTTGCTAGTGGCAGATATTTTTGCAGAGAGAACTACTTAACTCTTTAATTACTAGTCACAAACTATACATAATGTACTTCTGGATTTGACAAGCAGCGCCAATGGTCTACCACACCAGCCACCTGTCTGAGTCAGCACTGTGAACTGAGGTGCCCGGCTGGTGTCCGGAGCCTTGCTGCATTCTAGTGGTTGAATGGATCCCTGCTTGGATGGTCCTGACCTCAGACTGTGGGTTAGGACGTTATTACCACCTATGCAAAGGTACGCGTTCTGTGTGTCATCTGGCTCATTATTCTATGATTGATTTGTTTTGCTGATTAATATCCAAGAGGTCCGGCTTCAATGGCTTCCGACTCTGCAGCCCCTGAAGCACCGTGACAGTGTGGAGACCGTGACGCTGTGCTCTTGCTACTTCATGCAACAGGCACACGGCCTTCCATGTGTCGGCCAGAAGGATATTTGCAGGGACATGGGGAGCCCTAAGGTTGCCTTGACTCAGTGGTTCCTTCTGCTCCTTTCCTCTCTCTTGGCAGGTGTGGCCGGCTTCCTTTGGAATCAGTATGACCCAGCAGACAAGACCTTGAGCAGGAATTGGTTTTGTCTGCCCTTTGATGTATCTGCAGCCATCGATCACCGAGACCGAAGATGTCCCTGGCTGGGAAGACCCAGGAGGGTCCAGGCTGATCCAGGGACATCTGGTTATGTGCCGTTTTGGTCTGAGTGACATGAACTCTTCTATTTTTCTTTTTTTCCATGTTCTTTTGAGCCATGAGCCAAGAAGTGCTTCCAAGCCCACATGCAGGCCAAGAAGGGACAGCATTGGGCAAGTCCCCATCTGAGCCATGTGCCAAGGAAGGAGGCAGTTCCAGCCTGTGCTTGTAAGGGGCTGGGTGTGTTAGGCACTGAAGGCCAGTCTGCTGTAGAGCTGAGGAACTTGGAATTGGAAGGAAGCACCAGGCATGTCTGGGCCCAGAAGTAGACTCTAGGCACAGAGAAGGCTTTGTGTCAGGCTCTGTGGCCAGACAGCCTCTGTCCCAGTCCCAGCCCAGCCCCTCACTGCCGTGTGACCTTAGGTATGCTCTTGTACCTCCTTCCCCTGGGCCTCAGTTTCCACTTCTGTGAAGTATGGGTAAAAAGAGTGTGTAATTTACAGGAGTGTGTGGAAACGGAAATAAGTATCTAACATAGCACCCAGTTCATACAGACACTCAATGAACAGTCAATATGGGCCAATTACTATAGAAAAGGCCCAATATTTCCTATCCCCTGAGCTACAGCCACTGTGGCTGGAGGCAAGACAGGGTTCTGGTATCCTGTGCAGGCCCAGGAATGCCCTATCCAAGCTGGATAAGCAGGTGGAAACTGAGCTGTCTTACTGGGACCTGGTGGATCTGAGAAAAGCCAGTCTGGAGTGGTGCCTTGATGCCTTGTTCTAGCCCTGAACCCTGGTTGGCCTAGTTCCCTAAAGGAATGGGCAGTGGGCCTCATGTTCTCAGGGAGATGTTTAGAACTGCTGAGGTGGGCAAGACCACTAAGGTATTTTTCTCAGAGGGGCCATTGCTGTCATAAGCTGTAGGGTCATTGGCACTCTGGAGGAGTGACAGGAGGATGTGGGGGAAAATCTAACTGGAGGTCCCAGGCGAGTGTCCCCAGGCGGCCCTTCTCCTGTGCTTCTTGATAAGTGGTAGAACTAGAGCCTTCCAGGCCCCTGGGACATAAGTGCTGTGATGTGGTGGGTTTCTATGGTAACTAGGCTCTAATTGAGTTGAAGTTGGCTTCTTTGATGGTCAAGGTTGAGGTCAGTACAAATAGAGGTCAAAACCCAAACTCCCTGTGAGCCTTGCTGATAAAGAGGGTCTGGGGAGACAGCCTCCAAGGGTCTCCTTGTTCTAAGATCCTGTGGTTCCACCAGCCCATGCCAGGCAGCCCCTCACATCTGCCGAAAGCAGTGCCTCTCCAGAACTACCGGGAGAGTATCCAGAACTCCTGAAGCCCGTGTCCCACCTCCAGATTCTGATCGAACTTGTCCTCAGGATGGCCTGGACTTTGGACTTTTAAATACCTTTCCAGGTCTCTCTAAGGGGCAGCCAAGATTCAGACCCACTGGTTCATGTACCAGGCCCTGTGCTAAGTACATTATTTATGTCATCTCCTTCAAGCCTCATGATAATTCCCATTTTCCAGATGAAGAAGCACTCTTGAAAGGGGAAGTCACTATCTAAGACTGGAGAGCACTGAGAACCGCCATTGCATCCCAGGGCTGTCAGATTTCAGAGCCCAGGCTGGCCGCCTCTGTAGTGATAGCTTTCAAGGGAGTGTTGAGTGGGATACAGGGATACATCTGGGCAGGGTCTCAGGAGCCCTTGATAACCTACTTAGGGGTCCCCTGTACCCATCCTGGCCCTGTGCCACTCATGGCATCTTGACTAGTGGGGTGAGAGCACTGGCAGGTGTCAGGGAAGCCTGGGGAATCTGCCTTTTCATGTGGGAGAGCTGGAACCTGAGACTTTGCGCTCAGAGAGCTTGAATCATGCACTTAGCTTCCCGTGTCTTCTAATGCATGGCAGTCTTTCAACCTGGGACACAGCATCAGATGAAATTTTGTTTCCAGGGGAGGGGAGAGTGGTTGAGAATCACATTTTGTTCACCAGGTGTTTTGGGTTTATAGCAGACTCAGAAAAAAAAAAGTCAGAAGCCATCCATAAAAGAGGGCCAGAGCCCTTTTATTTGCAGTTTCATTGAAATTTAGTGAAAGGCAAACCCAGCAGGTACCTATTTTACTGGCAGTAAAAGGAAATTGGGCAGCAGTTATTTAAAAGGAGTTGGAGTTGTTTAAATCTAAAATTTAGTGGTATGTGTACATTAAGAAAAAGCTTACAAGGCTTCGGGATTAAGGCTGAACTGTTTCTGATGAAAATGACATGGAAAATATTTTCCTTTCTTATTTTAAACCTTCCCCTTTGCTGTTTGTTTTCTAAATTTAGCAGGCCAAGAAGCAGTAAGCAAATCTAGCTGAGAAAAAAACTGAAGCAAGTTAGGCAAGTCTCAAAGTTTCATCAAAGTGAAGGACTGAAAATAGAACTCCCCAAGATGAGAAGTCATTCTTCCCCTTTTATAGAGCACAGTCATTATTTCAACTTAAACAACTTCAGATGTGATTGATCTTATTAGACACGGAAGTGCGGGATTCGATATTCCCTAAAAGGACAAAGCCTGGGGAGGGAAGTGGCTGCCTAAACTTCAGCCAAGAACTGTCTGCAGGGGGCCGGAAGGATGTGGGAGGCTCATCGGGCTGTCACTCAAGAGCTCCCCAGCGCTTGTTCCTCACCATGGCAACGCAAGGGCTCATCTGAAGCATGGTCCAGATGGAACCCCCACCCCAAAGTCTGAACAGCCCTATGTGCGGGGACTGCTAGGAAAGCCCGACCCAGCCCTAGACTCCCACTGCTGGGCCAAATGCCAGAGACCAGCCCCGCGTCTTGGAATGGGTGGCTATTGTCTACTCAGTGTCATTGCCACCGTTGGCTCATTTGGTAGCTTTTAAGCTTGATTTTGTTTTTTCACCTTTGGACAGTGGTGGACTGAGGGACTGATATCTCTGAGCATTTGGTTACTAGAGCAGGACACATGACTCAGACTAGTTTAAGAAGAAGAAAGGAAAGGAGAGAGAGAGAGAGAGAGAGATGACTGACTCAAAGGACCCATCTATTATTAGAGATTTTTCTTTTCATCTCTTGATTCTCATTGTTTCTTCTTGGTTTCATTCTTCAGACAAGATTTTCCCATGTGATGGGCAAGAATATCTTCTTTCTCAGTGACAGAGTCCTTGCCTAGCATGGGCAAGGCCCTGGATTAGCAGAGCTGATGAAAAGGGCTCATCATATGGAAGAGTCTCAGGGAGGCTGGACATAGCTACTTGGGAGGCTGAGGCAGGAAGATTGAGAGTTTGAGGCCAGCCTAGGCAACTTAGTGAGACCCTGTTTCAAAATCATTGAGCTGGATGTGGTGGTGCGTGCTTGTAACAGTACTCTGGAGGCTGGGGCAGGAAGATTCCTGTGAGTTCAAGGCCAGACTGGGCTATACAATAAATTCAAGATCAGCCTGAACTACATGTCAAAAGCTTGTTTCAAAAAAAATAAAAGTCTCAGTTTACAATTGGCCCAGATTGAATCAGATGGCGACCCTGCACCAATCACTGTATCTAGGGGTGCGGCGATCAGATTGATATTTACCAGTTTGGTGCTCACGCCTGTGAGAGTGCTTGTGACTTGGCAAGACAAGGGCAGTGAATGACATTCTCACCAGGAGCACGTGATAAGGAAGAAGATCCCTAAGGCAGCCAAAAGCCCCGCATCCCCTGCTTGGTCCACTGTAGTTTCAAGTGTAGTCGTGTTTGGCCGAGAGGGAGTGGTGGAGGGAGGCCTGGGGTCATGGTCACTTGTCGCTCCTACATCCATCAGCTACAGGGACTCAGCATAACAGTTCAGCCCCTGGTTCACCTGGAGGAGGCCTGGGCCACTCAGGAGCTGTGCGCCTGTGGAGGGAACCCTGGACTTTCCCTGAGTGCGGTGTGGAGGCTACAGGGGGAGCTTCTCTAGAGAGCACAACTTGAGCGGAGCTTCTCGAGCAATGTCTCCTGTAGCCTGGAAGCGTTGGGTGAGCTGCAGGAAGGCTGCAGGCTGAGAACCCATTTCGGAAGGATTCCTCCCGCTTCCTGGCACATAGGCCGTGCTCAGCGGACCTTTGTTGAATGAAACAATGAGTTCAAACACTCCTAACGAATGAATGAATGCTTAGATGACCCTTGGAACCCACTGAACTGTGCCCCCGGACCCCGCAGATGTCTCTCGGTCAGTGTTGATTGGGCAGCTGGGGTGTTTGAGATGAGAACTCAGGGGTTTCCCGAGCCCACAGAGTGGCCATCCATCCTAAGTAAATAAACATGGCTATTTCCCACTGTTGGCTCATAGGGTGATGAAATGATGTATTCTTCCTTCAGGAGCTTCCAAACTTCGCTCCTCTGTAGTTTTTTGCCTTTTACTTTTAGCTCATTAGCTATCAACTTGAGGCTTCTTTCCATTCCCTGCCCAGAGTTCAGGAGGGGCCCGTGTGGGCAGCATTACTGTCCCAGGTGGGAAGGACCCAAGGGACCTCTCCTTGTCCTTTCCCACCCTCAGAGTTGAACACCTTGGATCCTTCTAGCAATCCCAGGCTTAAGCCAGAACAGTCCTCTCCCCTTCCTCTCCTTTCCTTCCTTCTCATCTTTCCTGAAATGGGTTTTGAGGCCGTGGGGATTCCTGCCACATCTGTTCAGTCCCTGGCATGGCACCAGCTCAGAATATTACAGCGCAGTGGCCACAGCCAAGTCACCGTCTGAGCATACGCACCCTGAGCATCGGTGTCTGATGTGGAGCAGCCCCAGGGCACATGTGGAGATCTCTGTCTCTGGCTGTGCCCTCAGGGAGCTCCCCACAGGCTCCTCGGGTAGGGGGCCACCTGGGAAGGTGACAGCACCACAGAATGGCAACAGGTAGGAGACAGAGCACCCTGGACTTTCGACATTCCTGTCCAGGGAGTTGGGTTGAGGCTGTCAGGGAAACATGGGGACTTTGAGCTGCTAGTGGGACTCCCCACGGTCATCCCACATAGCAGTCCCCTCCCCCAGGCCCCGCCGCCTGCTGGGAACGTCCCACAGGATTAGTCCTGTGACTGAGTCCTCATGCTTGGGTTCCGTGAGTGGATAATTCTCACCCTCCTTCCTGCTGCCTCTGGAAGCCCAGGGCTGCCATTACTGGAGGAGTTGGGGTCAGGATTCACTCACATTTGATGATATTTCATAGCACTCTGGGACCTCTGGCCAGCAGTTTGGTCCAAGTAGTGAGATGTCAGAATGCATCCATTCATCCGTTCATCTCCCGGTGTGGCCTTCCCCAGTGTCTCTCACTGAGGACTCTGGGAGCGCGGGCTGGGCTGTGGCTAAGGAGGGAGAGGCTGAACTGTGGCGTAGGTCATCCATCACTGCCAGCATGTAGCAGCAGGAGGCTTGGAAAATACGATGTGGGCCCACCTCGGCAGCAGGCAAAAGCCCTGGAGAAGCTGCCTCCCCGGGTGTTGTGTCCGGTGGCTCTGGCATCGTAGTTTGCTTTTCCTTGCAGCAGCTGGGCCAAGCACATAATGGAACCTTCCTGCCTGTGGCCCCCTCTGATGCTGACCTCTGTCTCAGGTGACAGGAACACCCTCAAAAGGCTTTGACGAGAAGGCATACCTGTCAGCCAAGCAGCTGAAGCCTGGAGAGGACCCCTACAGGCAGCACGCCTTCAATCAGCTGGAAAGTGACAAGCTAAGCCCTGACCGGCCCATCCGGGACACCCGCCACTACAGGTGTGAAGATGAATCTTAAATATTAACTTGATTTGCTTGAGGGATGCATAGGAGAATAGTAAATCACACTTCTGGGTGTGTCCAGATGGGTCTTGGGGTGTGAATTTGGTCGACTGTATCTGGTCCCTGTCGCCTTCCTGTCTGACTCTTCCTGCTCTCTCTACTTCCTGGCTGCCAGGAGTTGAGGAGCTGTCCTCTACCTTTTCCTTCCTCCGTGGTGCTTACCATGGACTGAAACGTCTGAAACTGAGCCAAAATAAACCTCTCCTCCTGAAGCTACATGTCAGGTATTTTGGCCCAGCCACAGCAAGGTGACTGATACAACTCGTATGGATGGCCTCCATAGTGTGGACCAGAAGAAAGGTTGAGAAAAAGCCAGCGCTGTTCAGCTGGTCGCTGTCCTAGTTCCCGGGTCCTGCTCTGAGCTCCAGCAGACTGCCCTGCCTACTGCTTTGCAGGACAAACAGGAGCTATCCTGTTCTGGTTTGTGAGTAGGCAACAGTGATTTCTGAAGCAGCCACTCCCTAGTACAAAGGATACCTGTGAAAGAAAGGGGCAGAGCTAGTTCTAGCACCTTTGTCATTACTCATGGAGGTGCATCTGAGGCCTACTGAGCTTGGTGGCTTGTGCAGGGTGAGATGGATATGGGGACCAGGGATCCCTAGATCTCGGCCTCACTGTGTCACCAGCCCCCAGAATCCTTTGTGCTATCAAATAAGGAAATAATTCTGTGACTGGACAACCTCTCCTCTCACCCTCAGGTCTAAACAGGTCTAAACAGCCATGTCCAGGCTCTGGGGAAGTCCTTTCTCAGTCAGCCCTGGGGCACTTCCCCTCATGTCTGCCTGCTTGGCGTGCAAGGTTAGGTCCATGCAGCTCTGCTTGGTTTTCCTTGAACAGCCCTAGCCATGGTCAACCTAGGCCAGTGCAGGGCCTGAAGGATCTGCTGACCCAAAGCTGTGAATCGGGGCCTGGCCCAGTTCATCTCTGCCTATCCTCCCAGCCCACTGCCACTCTGAATCTTCCCAGTGTTCACTGGGACACTGGAAGGGGGAATTGTCCACGGGGTGACACACGTTTTAAAATGAGACTCCCCACCTAGGGCAGTGGTGAGTTGGTGAGGTGCCACAGGACTGAAGTGGACCAGTGCGTGTGTGTGTGTGGGGGGGTGCGGCCTGTGTGCTGCTGTGAAGGGCAGTTTCTTCTGCTAGCCTCAGAGGTGACAGGCTAATCCCCGGTCCAGCCCTCAACCCAGGGAGCCCCCATCAAGTGAAACAAAGGGACATAAGCCACAGAAGACAGACCTATTAGGACCAGAGGGGCAACCCCACCAGCCCAAAGTCCGTTCGGAGACTCCTGGCTCCTGGAAGCTGCCCTGCTCCGTCTTCGTAGATCTGCAGAAATCCAAGAGGAATGCGGGAGTCAGGGCAAGGTTCAAGTCCACCCTCCAGACAGGTCGTGGGTCAGTTTGTCCCCTTCTGGAATAGAAGGACATTGCTATCCGGATTCACTCCTTCCTGGACACCTAACTGTCGAAGGACAAGGGCAGAGAACTGGGCTCCTGGACGTCAGGGCTGGGTGCTTCTGAGCCAGCCAAGCCTACTCTTGCCCCATTCCAAAGGCCTTTGGAGAAGCTTATTCGGGAAATGTGGCTTCTGGGGGCAAAAGGCTTTCCCTCCCCCACCGCTGCCCCACATCCCTCTTAAGGAGAATTATTTTAAAGCCTGTCAAGCTTTCTCCTCTGGGGGTCCCAGGCTAGAGGGACTCCCGCCTGGCTGACCCGGTCGACTCTGCAGGGCAGGAAATAGGCCTGGGAATTCATGCAGGAAGCTGCTGTCAGTGGAATGAATGTCGTAATGAAAGAACAGTCACTGTAGGAATAGTCAGGGAGCAATTGTAATAAGGAAGATCGCTATGAGAATCAGTGGGGGCGGCGGGGAGCCCGAATACCTGCAGTGGCAGGATGGCAGGAAGGTGGCAGGGATGGAGCGCTTTCATTCCCCTCCGGAGGATGGGGGGCACCGCCCAAAGATGCGGTATCTTGCTGGTAGCACCCGGGGCTGCTGAGGAAGGAAGGAGGTGGGAGATGCCCTGGGAGGTCTTCTCTGGAGCCTGCCTCCTCCCCGCGTCCCCTGCAGGGCTGTGAGGTCCCCCACCCCAGTGAGAAGGAGGGATCCCCAGCAGACAGGGTGGGGGTGATTCCTGCCCAGATCCTCATCTGGGAGCAGAGAAGAAAGAAGCCCCAGGGAATCAGAAACAAAAGGAAGGTGGTTTTCTTGCCCCGTACCCCCGTTTTGTTTCACTGGCCAGCTCAATGGGTAGGGACCTCGGTGTGGATCCAGGCTCTCTCCTGGGACCTGGCGCTCGACCTGTCCATGGCAGGAGGTCCTCCTCCTAAATAGACAGTGGAGGTGGTGCTCTCTGGGAGCTCTAGGTCTTTGGTAAAGAGCTCCCGACACTGGAACATACCCCAACCTGCTGCTTCCTGGCTAGGACTCCAGGTTAGGTCCACCTGGCTGCTGGGCCAGGGTGGGACAGAGTGTGGGCATGAGGGTCAGTGCAAGGGCCAGTGCTTGTGCTGGCCTTTTCTGCCCCACAGAAGTGTTCTAAGGAGCAGCAGACTAGACCAAAGAAAAGGTCCCATGCTGGCCCCTGACTCTCCCCTTCCTTTCCAGTTGCCCATCTCTGTCCTACTCCTCTGATCTGCCGGCCACCAGTGTCATCATCACCTTCCACAATGAGGCCCGCTCCACCTTGCTGCGCACAGTGAAGAGGTAAACAGCCAGGGCCCCTTATCTTGGTGCTGGTACCCCCAAAGCCTGGGTAGTCTGCAGAGCCTCTGGCTGGTGGGACCTTGAGATTGGGTGCTGTGGCCAGGCAGCATGAAGGCCAATGGGCATTGGGAAAGTGAGTCCTCTCTTGAGGAGCAAGGGCTGCTGAATCAGGGTTAGGAGACCCAGGAGTCGATAGTAGGCAAACAGAAGGCCAGGGAAGGGTGGGAGTGCAGGATTCAGAAGCAGAGGGAGGCAAGGATGGACCTGAAGCCTTAGGTGGGAGCCAGCCAAGTAGGTACCTGCTGGTGAATCAGGGAGAGGTGCTCCCTCTCCTCCTCTGAACTGGTTCTTGTGGTCAGGCCTAAACCCCACTCACCCCCTTTCCTCAATGAACTTAGGCAAGAATGGGATTTGGAAAGGTTACCCTGCGGCATTCCACATCGAGAAGCTTGAGTGCCCTTTCTCAGGGAGACAGGAAGGAGGAAGGACAGATGAGAGGCAGGAGCAAGGAGCCCCTGGAGAACACCTCTCCCATGCTCTGGGACAGCAGGAGCCTCACTGGTCCCCTGGGCAGGCAGCTGGGCTGTCCCTGGGCAGCCTGGTAAGCTCACCAGTCCAAACTTCTGCCCCGACAACCCAACTAGTGCATCTTCCCTGTCACCAGGGGGTGTCCCACACCCCCGGAGCCCAGGCAGCAGCGCCAACCCTTGCAAGAGCCTGCAGACCGCAAGTGCATCTCAGCTCCTGAGCAGGGCCCAGGAAGTGTGCAAGCAGCTGCTGGTAGCCAGTGTGCTGGCCCTCGAGCTGGGTAGTGGGAGCACTGCACACACAGAGAGGGATGCAAGGAAGGTGCCCCTAAATCCAGGCTCCTTCTCTGTCCCCACTGCTGATCCAGTGTCTTGAACCGGACTCCAGCCAGCCTGATCCATGAGATCATTTTAGTGGATGACTTCAGTTCAGATCGTAAGTATTCACTGGCCGTTTTTGTGCCCCTCTGTCCCCACTCCATTCCATTTCCCATCTTCCGGACGTCCTCTCTGCTGACAAAGAGAGATCTGTAGTTTTTTTCCCCTAGGGCTTGTGCCCAACCCTAGAGGGGAGAGTTGCAGCTTTTGATGGAACACCACTTACATGTCATTTTTTAAAACTGGGACAACATCAACAGCATCCTTCATAATTACAGCTGCCAAGTGCAGAAGAGCACCCCTCTGCACAGATTCAGGAGAGCCTGGCTGCCCAAAGATGCTGTGCTCTCTGGCGCCCCCTGGTGCACAGCTGCGGGGAACGCCATAGAGATGGGCATTCCTCAGGCTGGCCGCGCTGGGTGGGGGGCAATCCTTGACCGTGAATCCATCCTCCCCAGTCCCCAGTCCCTTTCCCTGGCCTGGTAGGGGACAGCTTCTGGGCAGTTCCCTGGCAGCCAGGCTACTTGTGGTGTGATGCTCCTATCTGAATGAGCTTGCCTTCCTCCCACCCTCAGCTGAAGACTGCCTGCTCCTCACCAGGATCCCCAAGGTCAAATGCCTGCGCAACGACAAGCGGGAAGGTGAGTACGAGAGCCACAGCGGACTCGTCTCGTGTGGCCCTCTCACCTCCCGACTCCGACCGAGCCAGTGTGGCCCTGCTGCCCTCCTGATGGCTGAGGCCAGGGTCTGGAGAACACCTTCCTTCAGTCCCGGGTCTGCCCCAGTCACCACACAAGTGTAGGCGTGTCGCTCTACTGCCGGCTGCCTTCACTTACCTTCTGAGAAATGGACTTCTGTGGAGTGGGCCTCGATGGGGCAAGGAGCTCGTGAGACAGGAGAAGGGTTGCAGTGGGCGGAGGGCACAGTGGGCAAGGAGACTGCACACAAAGGCCCCAGTCTGTGACGAGGGCACATGGGGTCCAAGGAGCAACCACTTGGCCCACATCCTCCCATTGGATCCTCCTAACAGCCCGGGGTTAGGAAATTGGGGTTTCCGAAGGCTGTGATTTGCCCAGGTTGATGGAGAGAGGGTTCCAGATTCTAACCAGATGGATCAACCTGAAGGTTGGCCTCTTAGCCTCCCTCTGTGAGAATCCAGGTCCGGTCTACAGGGGAATGTGTGGAATCAACTGAGAAGGGAGAGACCTTGAAAGCCAGAAGAAAACTTTTAGACTTTAGAAGGCAGATAGCAGGGAGCCACTGGAGGTTTGAGAGTGAGACAGATATGTGTAAGAAAGACCAGGAGGGCAAGGGGCCCTAATGATCAAAGTGCTGTGAAGAATTGTCTGCTAAACCAGGGCATTGTGGATGCTATCGGGCCTGCAAATATGCCATCTACTGAGTGCAAGAATGGATCTAAATTCATGATTAGGTGCTTTTGGATTCCTTTGGAGTAGGAGGATGGGGCTGTCTGGCTGTTGGACAGATGGGTGGCTAGTTAGATAGGCAGAGGCAGAATGTCGAGCAGAAGTGTGGCCAGGAAAATCTCTCCAAGAGGTGACTTGTATCAGAGGGCTCAGAGTGAGGTCCTTCCCTCCCCCACAGCTCCCAGGGCTTGATGGCAAGGGCAGGACCAGCTGGGTTTCCCCTCTCCTGACCAAACCGGCCTCAGCTCTGGGAAGCCCATTGTTTGCTGGCCAGTGAGCAGCTGGAGAGAACACTGGGAAATGGGGACAGAGGGTCAGAACCAAACACATGTAGGTCCCTGAGCACCAGGCTTTTTCCCTGTTGTCTTTGATCCTGATGAGCAGGGCTCATTGCCTCTCTGAATCTTATAGAGAAGAAAACTGAGGCTCAGAGAGGTTAATGTGCTCAAGGTGAGTGAAGGGGCTGGCTCGCAAGTTCAAGTGCGTTTTGGTCTGGAAGATTCTCTCCACATCATGCTTGGTGGTGTGACTGGCTGGGACCACCCAGAGGTTTCCAGAGGAAAGGGTTTTGCTTTCTGAGTTTCTTTCAGGACCAAACCGTACTTTATTGCATTTTCCTTGCACTAAACTTGATTGTCCGTCAGTGCCTGGCACATGAAGATGGGTAATGGATGAGGAGAGGAAGAGGAGAGGAAGAGGGGAGGGAGGGAGGGAACGATGTGGCATGAAAGGAGTGGCCCCCTGCCCACCTCATCCAGGGACCGTAGGGTCCCTGCCCTCAAGCTGCTGGTGAACCCGTTGGAAAGATTCAGCCCAAATGTGTACAGAGGTGCACCGTGCACAGAACAGCAGCTCAAACCGAGGCACGAGGGACGCCTCAGGCAGCAGATGAGTCACTGTCCCAGGACAAGAGGAAGGCTGAACAATACCTCAGCCCCTGAAGGGGAAGGGAGTCCCGGGACTTTGGGGCTCACTGGGAAGCAGACTGGCTGAGTCCCAGCCCTAGTCGCTTCCTCTTCCATTGCAGGGCTGATTCGGTCTCGCGTTCGCGGGGCAGATGTGGCGGCAGCTGCCATCCTCACGTTTCTGGACAGCCACTGCGAAGTGAACACCGAGTGGCTGCCGCCCATGCTGCAGCGGGTGAAGGAGGTGAGCCGTCTGTGCCCAGGCGAGCTGGGTGTCCTTCAGGATTTGCCTGCCAGGTTCCTGAAGGAGGATGAGACAGTGTGTGGAACGCAGCGGGCATCCAAGAAAGCCTCAGTGATGTGCTCGGTGGTCTGTTTCCCCGAGGGGCCGCACCTCCTTTAGCTCTGTTGTCTGGAAATGGATAATTGCTTGGTTTGTTCACAGGTTGCTGTGCCAACTCCACTGGATGAAAGCTCCCACTGTGCATGGGTTGGTTTTGATCCTCGGACAGGCAGGATTGCATGCTGGGCGGCCTGTGGCCAAGCTGGGGAGCCCTAGAAGGAGGCAGGAGAACCTGTAGTTCTAATGGGGTGGGGACGGGGCTCCTGTCATGTCCCTGCTGCTCCCCAGAATGAGAGGACGTGCACAGATAGCAGAAAAGGGTGATGCGGCTGAAACTCAACCAGAGGGAGACAAATAGCCCAACTTTTAAAAATGGGCAAAGCACTTGAATAGACATTTCTTCAAGGAAATAGTCTACTAAGGCCATGGGAAGATGCTTAATATTATTAATCTCCCAGGAGATGCCACCCTTAACGATAATGAATACCATTTCATATCTACTAGGATGGCCACATTAAAAAAGATGGATAATAACAATTACTGGCAAGGATATGGATAAGTAAAAACCTTCATGTATTGCTGAAGAAAATGTAAAATAGTGCAGACATCTTGGAAAATAGCCTGGCACTTCCTCAAAAGTTTCAGTAGTATTACCATCTGACCCAGAATTTCTACAGCTAGATGTGGACCCAAGAGAAACGAACGTGAAAAATATACCCATACAAAAACTTGCACTGGTGTATTCAGAGAGACACTATTGGGAACAGCCAAAAGGTAGAAACATCAATTGGCTGGTGAATAGATAAACAAATGCAGTATATCTATGCAAGGGAATATTACTCAGCCAGAAGAAGGAACAAAGCACTAATGTATGTCACAGTAAGAATGAACTTTGAAACCTCAGGTGAAGTAAAAGCCGATCACAAAAGGCCATATATTATGAGTCCAATTTTGAGAAATGTCCAGAGTAAGAAAATCAATAGATTTTGTTGAGGTGATGAAAATGTTAAGAACTAGAGAGAGGTGAAAGTTGTCTAACCTCATGAACATACTAAAGACTGCTGAACTGTACACTTGAAGTAGATTTATTGCATGTGAAATCCTATCTCAGCCCCCAAACATCTCAAACAGGAAGCAGTAAGGCCTCCAAAAGAGCATCAAGAAGTCATGCATGGTCTTCTCTGCTCAGTCCCCTGTCCTTCCCCTGTTCCGTTGTCCTGAGGATGTACGAACCGGACTGGCTGCATCCGAAGTTACAGACAGGAGGGTTTGGAGGGTGAAAGAAGAGTGGTAAAGGAACAGAGGGAAAGACGAGGCTATGTTCTGTGGCCTCCACAGAGGGTGATTTAAGTTTGCAAGTGGTTTATGACATAATCCACCACCACCCCAAAATAGTGAAGTCCGCACTACATACTTCGCAGGGTTTCAGTTGGATTTGTGTTCTGGGAAGTGATGAGTGGAGTGGCAGTCTGACCTTGAAGAGGATGTGGCATGAAAGGAGTGGCCCCCTGCCCACCTCATCCAGGGACCATAGGGTCCCTGCCCTCAAGCTGCTGGTGGACCCATTGGAAAAATTCAGCCCAAGTGTGTACAGAGGTGCACTGTGCACAGAACAGCAGCTCAAACCAAGGCACAAGGGGCGCCTCAGGCAGCAGATGAGTCACTGTCCCAGGCATTGTTTAGACTGTGACTGTGAAAGCAGCTTAAAAGACAAAGATATCCTTCAGACTGCAGCGTCAGTAAAGGCTTCACTGAGAAGATGAGACCCAGGTGGGGCTCAAAAATGATGGGAGGAGAAGAGGCCAAGGGTGTCTTGTGCCCAGGAGACTCAGGTGGGGCCTTCCAGGAGCCAGACACAGTTCTGGGTGGCCCTTGGCACATCCAGCAGGAAGTGCTGGCCACCATGTGTCCCAAAGAGACCTTCTCCCCAGATCAGGTGGCTGAGGCTTTTTTGCAGGAGAATCCCTGGCCTCACACCATCTTGCACCTCCTCTCCTAGGACCACACGCGCGTGGTGAGTCCCATCATTGACGTCATCAGTCTGGACAACTTTGCCTACCTGGCGGCCTCTGCTGACCTTCGAGGAGGTGGGTTCTTCTCCCAGGGGAGGGGCTCTGGGCCTGAAAAGAAGCAGGCTGAGGCCAGGCAAAAGCCCTGGCTCGATGCTTTTCTCAGCGGTGCTAGAGTCTGACACTTCTGCCTCCCTTCCTTCCAAAGATAACATGAAGAAGCCCCGGGAACCCCTGGGTTTGAGGGCAAAGGGCCAGAGAAGACAGTCTCGAGCTCCTGGCACAATCATTAGCAGAGCCAGGCTGGTCCTCGCCTTTTCCTCCCTGAAACACTGGCAACAGCCTTCCCAGTTGCTGCCAGACCAGGGTCTGTGCCAGTCTTGGCACAAGGCCGCCTGACAGCTGTCTCTGGCATAGGAGAGGGAAGCCCTTGCCCTGGCATGGATTCTTAGAATGCTCAGTTCAGAGTTGGGCAAGACATTTCTGTGTGACAATGGCTTTAACCACACTCAGCCGGTGAGCTCTCAAAATGTGGCTTGTGCTCAAAGGGTGACTAGTTGGAATTGACATGTGCTGTATTCACAAAAAATACACTGCAGGGCCGGGGATTTTGCTCAGTGGTTCTGCCATGCCTTGCAAGCAGTGTCCCCAGTTCTATCCCTGGTACCGTAACAAACCAAACAAAACAAAAAAAACCAAAAACAACGCTGCAGCCCTTGGACTTAATGTGGAAGAATGTAAAATATCTCATTAGTATTTTTATATTGATTACATGTTGAAATATTATTTGAGATGTATCGCATTAAGAATATTTTATTCAGATTAACTTCACGTTTTTGTGGGTTTCTTTTATACGACTCCTAAAACATTCTCAGTGACATATGTGGCTTAGTTTTGTGGCTTGCCTTGTGTATCTATCTTTTGGACCATTCTTGTGTTGACTCCAGAGATGTGCTATTTGTTCATAGTAGACAAAGGCTACATTTGCCTATTGATATTGAAATTAATTAAAATGAAACAAGATTTGCAATTCTGTTCTGTAGTTGTACCAGCCACATTTCAAGTGCTCACCAGCCACTTGAGGTTTTGCTACATTAGATAGTGCAGTGAAAGAACATTTCCACCCCTACAGGAAGTTCTGCTGGACACCGCTGTTCTAGAGACTGTGGCCAGTAGCTACTGGGCATAGAGGATTTCCTGTTCAGGGCCTGGGTTCCCGATAAATGGATCTGGCATTGATCAGATCTGCAGCTTCTGTGGGATCCTGAGGGAAGCCAAGTATTTCGCCTTTGAGGGAATCACCTCAGAGCCTTTGCACTTGCTGCTGCCCCTGCCTAGAGTTCCTTTTCCACAGATATCCTTGTGGGTCCATCCTTTAAGCAGGTCTACCCTGAAACATCACCTTTTCAGAAAGCCTTTGCCAAATATTACTAAAATGGCATGGGCACCCACTTCTATATTCTCTTTTTTATGCACTTTTCACCCCAACTGAAGAAGTATGTTTATCTGTGTAGCGTCTTCTTGCAGTGGATCATGAGCCGCAGGAGGGCAGGGGTTGACTCATTCTCTAGGAAGGAGTCACAGTGCGTGGGGCCCAAGGCCCTCTGGGATCCAGCTGTATTGGTGGAGACTCCGAGGGGAGGGGAAACGCGGGGGCCAACAGCACCCAGTGGACTTGCCCTGTGCCCCATCGTCACCCTGCCCTGTCTCTTAGGCTTTGACTGGAGCCTGCACTTCAAATGGGAGCAGATCCCTCTGGAGCAGAAGATGACCCGGACAGACCCCACCAAGCCCATCAGGTCAGGGTGGCTGTGGGCTCAGGGAGCCCCTTGCTTCCTGGGCCAGGAGCCTGGGAGGCATGTGGGCGACTGGATCAGTTGCAGGGCTCCTCAGGGTCCTCAGTCTGTGTTCTGGGTCCTCGGAGCCCTGGAACCTGCTTGCGGGGATGGGAAGGTCAGGGGCCTGGGAACCGCTGTGAAAGGCCCTACCGCCGGCCAGACGTCCCAGCAACGCTGCAAGCGGGGACTAGGAACCAATGGCCTGCGGTCCTAGGGCCCCTGAAAGGGCTCCCAGCTGCTCTCACTCAGGGCTGTCCCTTCCCTCTCCTTGTCCCCAGGACACCTGTCATAGCTGGAGGAATCTTTGTGATCGACAAGGCCTGGTTTAACCACTTGGGAAAGTACGATGCCCAGATGGACATCTGGGGAGGAGAGAATTTTGGTGAGTCTGGAAATAACAGTAAACACAACCGCAGTAGTGGTAGCACCAGCTGAGCATATTCTTTGCAAGCAGTCTATGGACTTTACACATATTAAGCCATTTAATCCTCACAAGAACTTTGTGAGGTAAATACTGCCTTCTCCATTTTCCTGATTAAAACCTGGGGCACAAGCTGGGTGTGACTTTGCACAGCTGCTATCCTAGTGCTTTGGGAGGCTGAGGCGGGAGGATTGCAAGTTCAAGTTCCACCTGGCACCTTAGTGAGATGCTGTCTTAAAATGTAAACATACATAAATAAATAAATAAATAAATAAATAGCGCTAGGAATGTAGTTTAACCTGGGTTCAATCCCTGGTGCCAGATAAGAAAGAAGGAAGGAAGGAAGGAAAGAAGGAAGACATTGAGGTGCAGAGAAGTACAACAGTTTTAACCAGAGCCGCATAGCTGTAGCTAGACAACAAAAAAGCTCAGGTGTTTAGATGGAGCCTGTGGCCCCAGAGCTGCGAGTGTGTGGAGAACACAGACTGAACATGGACCACAGCTTCCTCCGCACCAGAAAGGCTGGGCAGGTACAGCCGGTAAGCTGTGGGATTGGCAGCCCAGGTGCCATCCCTGGCCCTTCCACCTTCAAGCTGTTTGCCTTTGGGCAAATTAAAGTCTCCCTTGACTCAGTTTCCTCCAGAGGCTGTTGGAGTAGGAAATGAGAGGACAATAAAACGTGTCCCCCGGTATCGGGGTCACCATCGCTGAAAACGAGACGACAGGGCCACACCGTCCCCAGCAGGGCAGGAAGCAGCCAGGCCCCCAGAAAGCAAGTACAGGAGGCGCCAGCAGGGGTGAAACATTCACTAGGGAGTTCCATCCACCTCTCGCCCCTTGCTCCTTAGCTGGGTACTGGGGCTGTAGAGCTCTGCGAGTGGTCACCAGGTCCTGCACGGGTGAGCTCACTGGTGGCCTTGAGTGAGGTGGTCAGTTCTTATGAACCTCAGTTTCCTCATTTACAGAGGAGGAAGTGAAAGGTGCTGTCTCCCAGGGAGCCAGTGGAAGGGGTGTTGCTTAGACAGAATGTGTATGTCAGTCCAAGGCCCGGACTGAAATTTATTATTACAGGTATATTACACAGTGTGAGCACGGGAGCACAAGGGGCAGGACTGTCGAGGGTGGGGCTGAGACTGCAGGGTGCTATCACCACCCTGAGGTTGGGAAGACAGGAGGGAGCGCCCCCAACAGGTCTTGTGCCTCGCGCAGCCAGCCCAGGGCACCCAGCTAGGAGGGTGTTGGAGATAATTCTGTCCCTTACCAGTGCCTGACACTGGCCAAACCCGTCATCCGAGGGAAGGAATCCCTGTGGTGCAGCCGACACCAAGCAAGATGGAAAAGGGCAGCTGGCCAGCCCAGGGGATCAAAGAGTAGGCCCTTTGCATCCTGTAAATTACAAAGGCCCATTCCTGCTCCTCCCGTCCTTTCCTGCTGTCTCCTTTCTCATCGTGACCTGCTCTCTTCAGCAGTGAGTGGGGCTAGTGGCCCCTCACCCATTTGGCAGATGGGAAAACTGAGGTAGGTGCTGCCTTCCAGATTTCAATCAGGAATCTCCACATCTCACAGCTCCTGTAGCAGAGCCTCTTAAGTGCTGGGGGTGTTTCAAAGTTAAGTCTGTTAGAAGTGTGCTTTCTCCCTCTTTCCTGATAGTAGACCTCTGAGCAGGGAGGCTGAAACCAAGCCCGCTTGGCACCAACTAAATGTATAGACACGGGGGTGGGATTGTCTCCCCTTGGATTTACTCTTGGAAACAATTTCTAGGCAGGGATTGGAGGAGTGAATTCTGTGAGCTGGAGCTGCAGTGACCCGTCCATCCTGACCTCCTTTCCTGTGTTTTGGGCCTAAGTGACCTCCTTTGTGTCCTGGGTCTCAGCCTGAACCTGGTTTGGCAAAGTCAGTTTCCTGTAAAGACTTTGAAAGCTGGGAAAGGAATGGGCCCCCCTGCTTCCAGAGGCCTCTTTCTTTCTCTTATTTTTTTGGGCTGGGGGCTGACTGACTGAGTAACAGTGTGTGATCAAATAGCTGCTTCAAACTCTGCCTGAGGCAGAGCTCTGTGGTTGGGGAACTTGAAAGGTGGACTGCAGAGTTGTCCTGGCCAGGGTTGTGTTTCTGAGGAGAAATTCAAAGGACTGTCTGGGCTGCTGTGGTGCTCAGATGTTCAGCTGCTGCCAGGACTGATTTTGGGCTGGGAGTCTCTTGGCTGTGAGCCTTTCATTTCACTCCATTTTGAAGGAAGGGAGATGCCCAAACTGAGCTTTGTTCCTGTGGCCCCGAAACTCGAGAGCCAGAGGTCACCTTGAGTTGGGCCTGGCAAATACGAAAACCTTGCAGTTCCCCTTAGGAGGCTTTTTATTTTTTCATTCGATTTTATTTATTTTGGAAGTTCTGAGGCTTGAATCCAGGGCGTCGTGCATGCTCTGGAACCAAACTATCTACCCTATCCCAAGGAATCCTTTTCAAACACAGATGGATCATTTCTATTCTCTGCTCAAACCCCGCAAGGGCTCCCATGCCACTCAAAGCAACATCTAAAGCCCCCACCCTGGGGCCTGTACTAGGAGGGCTTCCTCTCCACCGCACCCTATGAATTTAATCCCTATCTCCCACCCCTCTGGCCCTGCCTCACTTTCCCCGGCTGCCAGCCCTCCTTGCTGTGCCTGGAACCTGCAACCACACTCTTACCTCTGGGAATGTGATCTTGCCGGTCTACTGCCTGGAAAACTCCTTCCTTGACAGCCACATGGCTCCCTGTTACTTGCTTCAGGGCTTAGCTCAAATATCCCCCTTTTCAGTGGGAACTCCTCTAAATCAGCCTAATTAGAAATTTGGTCCCCGCAATTCCACGCACTCTCGTCAGCTCCCTTTTTTTCCTTTGCACTCTTCACCCACTGATACGCTACACGTTTTCTCACACGCTCATATTTTCTGTTACCTTTTTGAGTGCCTGTCTCCCCAGCATACTAGAGTACAGGGAATCTAGAGCAGCGTATGAACAAGTCACTGAATGCCCTAAGGAATCCGATTCAGACCGTTCAGCCTGCTGGACAGAGTTTAAATTTTGTGTTGTACTTCTGGAACGGAATAGGTGGATGACCTTGGTGAGGCTATTTAACATCTTTGAGCTTCATCAGCCTTATTGAAAGTAACGTGAGGATAAAGCTGGACACTGTGGCAGGCCCCTGTGTATAGTCCCGGCGCTCAGGAGGCAGAGACGGAAATCAGTTGAGTTCAGGAGTTCGAGACCAGCCTCAGCAGCATAGTGAGGACCTGTCTCAAAAGCGGCGTTGGGAATATTATTCTGACTTCGTATGGTTGCAGTGAGAGTTAGGTAGTGGGTATGAAGAGAATGGTACGTAGTGATGCTGAGTAAATGGATGATAGTTACTACTTTTGTTGCCATTGCTGGTAATAATAACAACCTCATAGGGCCCGGGATTTAGCCCAGTGGTTCTGCTGCCTGCCTTGCAAGCGTAAGATCCTGGGTTCTGTCCCCAGTACCAAAAAAAAAAAAAAAAAAAAAAAAAAAAAAAAAACCCAACAACAAAAACAACCTGATTAGTGACAGGGTGGATGGTATAGACTCTGGGATGAGCTGACTTAACTAGCCTAATATTGGTCCGGCAGAAGCGGAACCAGAATGTAGATCTTAATGCCCTCTTGGTCTGTCTCCGGTATTAAACATCCGTTGCTAAGACCAACTGCAGGGTCTGCCCAGGAGAACAGCAGATGCCTGGCAGTTTAGGGCAGGCGCCCATGTGTGGACCCAAGAATGGGAAGAGGTGGGTCCTGGCTTGAGCCGCATCTGGTCATGGCCTGGTGCACACCGGCTGGTCATCTGCAAAAGCCCTTTGGGCTCCGTTGCCTTTCAGAAGGTAGTGTGTCAAGAGAGGCAGCGATGGCCTGGAAACGGAGCCCCTCTGGGCCTAGAAGTTGGCCTGGAGACAGGCAGAGAAGTGCAGCAGGGGCAGCCTGTGGGTGGCTGGTGGCCAATTTCCTTATCCCAAGGGTGTGCAGAGCTTGGGGCTTCTGGCCCAGGCTGCAAATGCTCCTGCTGCACTGGGTGCAGATCTCTTTCTGCTCAGCCCAAGCTTCCTCACACCTTTTCCCACTGCTGTCCTAGGGCTCTGCCGGTGTGTGCGTGAGTGTGTGCGCACATGTATGCGTGGGATAAGCATGTCCAAGGAGTGGGAGAGCCCCGTTTAATCAGCCTCAGGAGTTCTGACCCCAGCAAGTACCCGCTCCTACCCTCTCTAAGGGGGACTTGTCAAGGGGCCCTTTCCCCTCCTGACAGTGTGGTCTCCTGCAGAGCTCTCCTTCAGGGTGTGGATGTGCGGAGGGAGTTTGGAAATCGTCCCCTGCAGCCGGGTGGGCCATGTCTTCAGGAAGCGACACCCCTACAACTTCCCCGAGGGCAATGCCCTCACCTACATCAGGTAGGTCCCAGAGGGAGTAGGCCTGGCGTGGAAGGAGGCGAACCCGGCCCTAGACCCCACCTTGCCGATTACCATGCGACTTTAGCTGCCACCCTACTTCCTGTCCTCAGTTTCCCCATTTCCCCTCCCAGGTCTGATGTTCTAGGGTTCCCAGTACTCCAAGGGATAAAAGGATGAATTGGGAATATTGTCACCGGCTGTCTCTTGACTCCCTTTTCCCATGAGTCTTGGAAAACTTTCCCAATGACTCCCCGGTGACTGACTGAGCGCCACTCTCCCTAGGGAACCCCTAGTGCTGGTCACGGATGCCAGTGTCCCAACCTGGTCAAGCATCTGTCCATTTATGCCCCCAGCCACAGGGTACATTTGGTCTCACAGGAGAGTGGGCTGTTGGGCAGATCTGGAAGCCCCGCTGTCCTGATAGGGGTGTTAAAGGGAGGGTGAGGGGCAGGCGCGCGAGCATCCCCTCCACCTGAGGGTGCTTCTCCACTCCGTCCGGCCTGGCTTCCCCAGTAGCTAACTGAACGGCCTGGGGTTTTACTCTACCCTTCTCATCCCCTTTTTGTGGTTATAATTATAAAAATCATATACGTGTTCTGGAAAAAACTCAAGCAATACCAAAATAAATTTTATGCATACATATCTACATCATGTATTCACTTTTTATATTATTACAGAGAAAAATGTGGAAGTCTTTGTATCTATTATTTCTGCTGGGCATGTTCCACTTGCCTCATCAGAACTAACCACTGTTAATAGTAGCTAGCCTACCATTTCAGGCCTTGAACTAACCAGTGTTATTAAACCACTGGCCTAACCTTTCAGTATTTTAATATACACCTACCTCCATGCATGCATGATAGTGGGTAGTGCTGTGCACCCCTTCAGTGACACGCTTCTCTGTCCCAACCCTGTCACACACCCAATCTGTGTCCGCGCACACTCACCACGGTCCTTTTGTTCAAGGTTGCCTTGTTCTCCTTGTCACGCATTTATTGTCCCATTGGAGGGCATTTGGATCGTCACCAATGTTTTGCTGAACTCGTGTACGGGTCTTTTTTGCCCACACTCAGGTATTTCCATAGAACACAGTCCTTCAAGTGGAGTCAAAGAGTAGAGGTAGCTACAAAGCTGCTGGGCGTTGGTAGAGTGTCCTCCAAAGAGACTGTGCCAGTTTATACCACTGCAATCGGCACTGTTTCGTGTGTTCTCCTGAGTCTCATCTGAGCTACACAGAGCGCAACGTTTCTCCTTAAGTATATATTTTTAACGGACAAAAGTTTTATAAGAGCTGAACTCGATCCTAACCCTAACACTGTCTCCTCTCTGTGACCTTGTTCTGCTCCTCCCCCTCTTTTTAGGAACACCAAGCGTACTGCAGAGGTGTGGATGGATGAATACAAGCAGTACTACTACGAGGCCCGGCCCTCAGCCATTGGGAAGGCCTTCGGCAGGTGGGTTCCCACCCCTGGTCATCTCCCCCGCCATGTTAGCGGAACCCCAGCAACATATGAAGTGGTGTTCGCATGAGGGAGCCCCTTGAAGTCTCCCTAGCAACTGAGCCTCCACTCTCGAGGCTCTGGGAGCCAGAGAGGGGTCCTTGAGGAGCACACACCTTCTCAGGGTGTGTGAGAGTGTCACTGTCCCCAAGCCGCCATCTGTAGGAGTATTTAGAAGGGGCTGCCTGCAAAAGACACCTTGGGTTTTACCTACACCCCCGTTCAAAATTTTCATCCGTCAGCCTTTTCTCCAGGCAGGGACGGTTAGGGCTAGAATCTAGTTAAGCATTTTCAAAATGCAGGTGGGTTGTGAAATCAATTTAGTGAGTTGTGACCAGCATTACAAAAGAGGGGAAGAAAAAAGTACCATAGATTAGATTAGAACAGAACAAAATATAAAATCAGAGTTGATTGCAATGAAAGGTAAGTGCTGTTTCACAAAACTCATTTCTGGTGTGTGCGCGCATACACACCTGGGGATTCTACACCATGTGTAAGATCTACTTACCTCCTCCTTAAGGAGGTCAGGAGAGTTTGAAAACATTGTTAAATGATTGATTGTGAATGAATCATCTTCCCTGTATTTATTTATACCTATCCCTAAATGTTTGTCCCTCATTATTTCTTTTAGTGACAAACTAACACTTAGCGAGGACTTACCCAGGCCTAAGCACTTCTTATCCCCTTAAATTCATTTGATTTTCACAAAACTTCCTGGGGTGAGTAGTCGTATCCCCAGTTGACTGTAGGGGACACTGAGGCTCAGGTAGGAGGTTGAGGGGGCCTCTGCCGTGGCCATTGTGGTTGGCACAGCTGAGGAGGGTGAGGGGACTGAACGCCGCGGTACCCAGCACACATCGGGTGGTTCTTATTGGCCAAACGCCTCAAAGACGTTTAAAGGTTGCTCATTTTGTTAGACTCTTTTTCCTAAACTGGAAGGCAGGAAAGGGGAATTTGTAGTTGATAAATTCTCTGGGAAAATAAGGACCGGTTGGTGGTGATGAACTGAGGTTTCCAAGAATGAGAAGCCCAGGGAACCCGGAGGGCTGGGTTCCTCTGCAACAGTAAGCTTGGAGCAGGATTTGAGCAGAGGAGGGAGACCAGGAGGCCTGAAGTGACTTGTGGGTCCCAGGATGATGCAAGCAAGTGGTCAAGGCCGGGCAGGACAGGCCCGCGTGGCTCCTGGCCTGCGGGAAGAGGGAGACCTCCTGTGTCATCCCACGGCACTCCAAGGTCTCATCTCCTCCTTTAGTGTGGCCACAAGGATCGAGCAGAGGAAGAAGATGGACTGTAAGTCCTTCCGCTGGTACCTGGAGAACGTCTATCCTGAGCTCACGTGAGTGTGCCACCCCCATACCTCCCACCCATAGTCTGGCTCCTTTTTCTGCCCCAGGGCTGTGCGGGACCTGGGAGGGCTTTACCTGGAGTCATCAGTTAGGTGTGGTGGGCAGCACATTCCTAAGGCTAGGTCTTGGACCTAGAAATGGATATCAGTCTCCTGGGGAAAACACCACATTAATGCAGCAAAGGCTGCAGAAACCTTCCTCACCCTTGACCTGGTTCTCCCCTTTCTGGGAGTTTATCCTGAGGAAATAAACCAGCCAAGGCAAAGAGCTGCTGACAGGCAGATACTTACTGCAGGCTTATCTGCTGCTATGAAAAACGGAGAAGTGACACTAGGGGCTGGGCTCAGTGAACCCTGATACAGTGATTTAAATAAAGATTGTGCATCCGTTAATATTACAACCCCCACGAGAAGCATGGGGAAATGAGGAAACAGAGTACAAATGGGGTGCTGAGTGGAACTATGGCCCCTAGGACAGGACTGTGGCTGGTGAGTCAGCCAGTTTTCCTTTTTCCTAAATTGTTTCTGGTGTCTTGGTCCAGCTGTATGGTTCATTTCCTCACCGTCCTCAGCTCTTGACCCGTCTCCCAGCCTCAGGGACACCCTCCCTGAACACTGACTTGGCAGGGGCACCCGATCCCTCACATTTGGACTTTCCTCCGTAGGCCTTCCCGGCCCCTACAGCTGACCAGTTATACCTGTTGTCGCCTCCCACGCTTGCCTTAAGCTCCATGAGGGCAGAGGCTTCAATCTGTTTTATTTGTTGCTTTATTTCTAGCACCTACAACAATGCTTGTCACAAAAGAGGCACTTAATAAACATTTTTTGACTGAATAAATGTCATAGTCTGCAGGCCTCAAGAATGACTGAAGGTAGCATTCTGTTTCTGTCACAAGTAGGGGGTGTAGCTTGTCCTGCTGCTGCCAGCGTCATCCTAGGGATGCTGCCATGGTCTTCTGGGAAACTCCACCCCTCAGAGCCAGTGTGTCCTTGAAGGAGGCAAATCTTTGCCTTTGAAGGCACATTTGATTTCTAGAAAGCAGCCACAGTTAGGTTGAAGCCAAGCCCAGGGAATGTGCTAGATGATAAAAGCAGATAAAATCATCTCACATTCCAAATACACACACACACACACGCATGCACATACACACACACACACACACACACACACACACATGCGCGCACGTCTTGAGAGTAATGAGACAGAACTGAGTCTGCAGAAGTTTCCAAGAAATTCCAGGACACTGTGAGTAACAGCAGCATCGTTGGGCGAAAGTTGGCAGCCTGGACAGACCCAGCTCCCTGGATGACAGCTGTGAGGGGAAGAACATTGAATTAAAACATGTAAGGAATGAACAGCTTCTTGAAGTGACTGCTTTTGAGGGGACTAAGCTTAGCCACATGTGTCACTTCCAAAGTGCTGAAGTAAAAAGAGCAGTTGTTTCTTACCATGTTTGGATAGAGCCTGTGGACCCCATACCTCGGTCCATGAGCTGGAAACCTCAGCGAGGCCTCACCCCCCTATTTTTTCAAGAGAGGTTAGATTCATGTTTTTCTGTGTTACCTTAAAATTTAAATGGGGTGGGATGTACCCTGGAATCCCATCACTCTGGAAGGCTGAGGCAGGATGCTCACAAGTTAGTCTTTCCTGTAGTTATTTATAATGACCTAAGGCTTTTCTACCTTGTGGATAAGTCAGAATTGATTTAGCTCACCCCCTATTGTTGGATAATGATGCCAATGTTTTCAGTGTCAACCACTCTGAAATGAGTATCTTTTAATACACCTATAATTATTTCCATAGATTAAGTTCCTTGAGTGGCATGGTTAGGTCAAAGAGGTGCACATTTTTAAGGACATTGATTCTTTTTTTTTTTTGGTACCGGGATCGAACTCTGGTCCTTGCACTTGCATGGCAGGTGGCATAACCACTGACCTAAATCTCTGGCCCAAGGACATTGATTCTTAATTTTACACTGTCCTCCCAGAAAGCTGGACTCACTCATGTTCTCACCAGTAGGATATGAGAAGATCCAGTCTCACAGCTATTACCAACACTGGGCATTGTCATTAAAAAATACATGTATTTATGTATGTACTCAACTATATATGGTAAACAAATAGTGGCAACTCTCTAACATATATTTCTTTAATTACTGGTGAGACTGAGCACATTTTCATGTTTGCATATTTCAAGTTGGCCTCTTCAAACAGTGGGCTCCCTGTCCTTTTGAGATTTGGTCACGAGCCTAGTTTGGGCCCCATTTTCTCCCCAGGCTTCCTCTTCCAGGCCAAGGAGCCCTGTGTTTCGGCCTGAGCTCTCCCCTCCGAGATCCTCTGGGTGGCCCCGGGCCCCTTGGAAGAACCTTCTGGAAGCTGAGGCCCGGTCTTCCCAGAGGTTGCTCCTGCCCTGCTCCCATCCCCATTGGGCCTGTAGGTCTCAGAGGCCTCGGTGACTAGGACCTACATGCTGGCAGAGGGCATGGGTAAGCACGGAGGGCAGGGCCCCAGCCTGATTGCTGTCTTTTCTCTCAGTGTCCCCGTGAAGGAAGTGCTCCCCGGCATCATTAAGCAGGGGGTTAATTGCTTAGAATCCCAGGGCCAGGATACAGCTGGTGACTTCCTGCTTGGAATGGGGATTTGCCGAGGGTCTGCCAAGAATCCCCCACCACCCCAGGTAAGCTGCTGAGGGTCTGGGAGTTAGGACTGGGGGCTGGAGAGGAGCCAGGGGCATTGGTCAGGAAGGGGCCAGGGGCTTCACTCTGCTCATTCTGTCTACACCCCTCTTGAACCTGCTTCTCAGTGGTCCTCACTCTGTGATGTGTGCACTGCACAGTTTTGCCGTGCACCTCCTCCATGTCACCCAGACAGTGACCAGTTCTCCCTGGGGTGCAGCTATGGTTAGCTCATGTGATGGGCAGCAGCACTGAGGGCTCTGTGCACATGAGTGTCACCCCCGTCAACACTAGAGCTGGCCATGAAGACCTCAGCACTTCCGGGCTTCCCTGGTTCCATGTCCTGTTATCCTCTCCTGTCCCTATTGATCCTTGATACCTCCTTGACTGCCCTCTGGTTGGCTCCAGCTAAGCTTCCCTATCTCAGTATTTGATTATAAGCACTGTTCAAATTCACAGAAAACATGAGCTGGGTGTGGTGCATGCCTATAGTCTCAGCTCTCTGGAAGGCTGAGGCAGGAGGATCTCAAGTTTCAGCCCACCCTGGGCAACTTCGCAAGGCCCAATCTCAAAATAAAAAAGGGCTGGGTATGTTCAGTGTGAAGACACTCTTGTTCAGTCTCCAGTAGGGAAAAGCAAAAAATGAGAAATTATATGATATGTACAGTGAATACCGATGTACCCTCCCCTTGCTCCAAAAATTATTTGTGGAAAAGTCTATGAAAGCCTATGGTGTACCTGCTATATGATCAGTCTTCCCATGGTCCATTCAGCGCTGTCCTTTCCTTGTCTTGCAGGCCTGGCTGTTCAGTGACCATCTCATCCAGCAGCAGGGCAAGTGTCTGGCTTCCACCTCCACCTCCACCTCCTCTCCTGGGTCCCCAGTTATCTTGCAGATGTGCAACTCAAGAGAAAGCAAACAGGTGAGCCTCCAGCCCTGGGCACAGGTGGCCTGCAGCCCCAGGGGGACATGCGGCCGGTGTTGCAGGCTGTGACGGGAGCAGCCTGAGACTCGCAGTTTCCGATAGGCGCTCCAGAGTGAGGAGCTGCAGGACCTCACTCCACATCTGAGCCCTCTGATTTCACTTGAGAAGAAATGCTTCTTTAGGTATTGGCTTCACATCCTGCCTACCTGAGGCAGGAGCAGTTTGTCTTAATGCTGTTTCCCAGCCCGACAGCCACACAGCCTAAGTAAGAGTGAGCTCTTCCTGCCAGTCTGTGCTGGGGTCTCCCACAGGTCCTCACTTCCTGTCCTCCTTGCCACCCAAGGAGGGAGTCCTAGTACCAGCCCTGTTTTACAAGTGAGTAAATCAGGCTTGTTGACCATACATCTGGGACAGGGTGGAACCAGGACTTAAACTCACAGTCTTTTTTTTTTTTGGTACTGGGGATCAAACTTAGGACCTTACACTTACGAGGCAGGTGGTGGAACCACTGAGCTAAATCCCTGGCCCAGACTCACAGTCTTAACTGCACCAATCAGTACTTCTTGACTGCTGGCTGACTGGGGAAACTGAGGCTCGGGTATGGTGATTTTCAAGCTAAGACGACTGGCTCATGTGAGGCCGGTCCATTTGTCTGCCCCTGTCACCCACACTGCCCCCGAGTCCTAAGAGACAGATCAGGGTGACCTGCAAGGGAGAAACTAAGGCTTGGAGAGATGAAGCCACCTACCTGTTCAGGACACTCAGCAGCCAGTGAGGAGGAGACCCTGGCTCCCTGCTGTGCTGCCACCTTCCTGGATGGAAGGGCTCTGCTCCTAGGGTGCAGGACCTAAGGCCAGAGGCTGCTGTAGCCCTTGCCTTGCCCACCCTTCTGGTAGCGCCCCCTGTGCCTGACTGGCCAGCTACGCTAACCTGTAGGGCTTTCCTCCCACCCCGTCTCCTTTGCTCCCCTCATTTTCTTTTCTCTTCCTTCCCCACTTCTCTTATCTGTTCTCTGCTCTTTTCTTTCTTTCTTTTTTCTTTTTTTGATACTGGGAATTGAACCTAGGGCCTCCATGCTAGGCAAGCACGCTATCACTGAGCTACCTGCCCAGGCATTTAAAAACATTTTTATTTTGAGATAAGGTCTCATTAAGTTGCTCAGGCTGGACTTGAGCTTGGGATCCTCCTGCCTCAGCCGGTCAAGTAGATGGGATTACAGACATGGCGCCACCACCCGCGGCTCTCTCACTCCTTTTGTCTGCCTAGGTCAGCTCTTTTTTTAGGGATGACTGGAAGTGTGCTTCAGGAAAAGCAGCGGGTCCTCTCCCTGCACCCTGGAGTTGCATATGTGCGCATGTCGTGAGGCGGGGCTGCTCTGTGGCTTGCTTGCGGCCCTGCTGGATGCTGCCGAAGCACTTTCCCACTGGGGGTGGGGGTGTGTGGCTTATTTCTGCCCCAGGCTGCACACCCTCTGCCCTGCCCTGCAGTGGGCTGGCACACAGGCTGCCGTTTCACCTCCCTCCCGAGGGGAAGCCTCGAGCCTGTACTGCCAGCTGTGTGTTGAGGCCAGAGGGAGGAAGTGTCTGCCCGGCAGCCTCCCCTCAAATACTTCTGTGGGCTGAGGCATCTATTTTCCCAGCTGAGCTGAGCCAGCCCCTTCATTCTGCTCCTGTAAGTCCTGCCAGGCCCCAGGGCACTCTAGGTGCCCTGCCTCTCCCTTCTTGGAGGACTGGACGAACAGATCTCCCTTGCCTCATCCTTCTGGCCTCTGGCCTCTCTTGGTCCGTCTTTGGTTCTATTCACAAGGCCATCTGGACTCGTTCATCTAAGAGGCTCCTGTGCCCTAGACCAGGTGTGATGCAGGTGACAGGTCCCACCTCTCATTTCCTGCGCCCCCTGAGTCCTAGTCTCTTTACATATAAAACAAGAGGTTCCCTTTTCTGCTGTCCTGCAAGGAACCTTCAGAAACTGGAGACTGTGGATTGGCGAGTTCTGTGATGTGAAGTCTTATCTCCAGGCAGTGGCCTGGGGAGTCAGAGAGGCCTTAGATGGCCTGGTGGCACTGTAAGTGAGAGAATCCTGTGGTTTGGAGAGCACCTTTTCGTGCCTGGATGATTCATTCCTTCATCATGAAACAAAAATGCACTGGGTGTGTTCCTTGGGTTATGAAATGTACAGATCACGTTGGCCATAAGGATGAAAGGACATCAACATGGCGTCCAAGTCACTTATGCGGCAGAGGAGGGGGCTGCTACATTCGAGTTGGCTCAATACCGAGGTCACACTAAGCCTGGGCTGCAGCCCCAGGGGAGGGCCCTGTCTGCGACCTGGATGCACGGTGAGCAGGTCAGCAGGACCTCCTAGGGAGTTAAATGTGAGGGACTAATGGGTACAGAGCAGAAGTGTGCCATAGTTGCCGGGGCCACAGGCCTTTCTCAGCCCCTAACCCTGACCTCTAGGCTTTCAGCTGGGACCACATGGCCCCAGTGAGGCTGATTCAAAGCTTGGCCCTTCATAGCCCCTCAAGGGAAGCCCAGACTCTGCAGCCCCCACTTCCCACCCTGTCCACCTCCGCAAATCCCTGCAGCCCTAGCCCTGGCCTGCATCCAGGTGGAGCTCGTCTCTTTCCCCCTACCTGTTCCATGTGCCCATCTGCTCAGACCCCTCTGGGCTCCATCCACATGGTCAGGAGCACTCCCACCTCTTATGGAGGACAAAGTGGGTATAGGAAGGAGGGGAAGGTGGTTACATGGGAGGAAATCGGAGAGAAACCAAAAATAGACCTGCCTGGCTTTTCAGTCTTCCCTGAGACCTGAAACCTGTCTCAGCTTCTCATACCTTCTCTGTGTTCCAGGCCACACTTTGTCCTCCGTCCAGTCTTTTCTAAATTGTTTTACCCTCCTGTCAGCCCTGGGGGAGGAAGGCCCCGGGAAGTGAAGGCATGACTGAGGGAACTTGAGTATTCCCAGCATTCCACTGGACACCCATGTCTGCAAAGATGGCAGCCAGTTCCCACTAGAAGGTCTAGGTAACCAGCCTCATGGTTACAGGCCAGGTGCAATGGATAGGGCTGCCTGAAGAAGAAAGGTTGTTCAGGGAAGAGATTCATCAAGTCTAGGACATAGCGAGCTGGTGGGGAAGGCCCTTCGAGAGAGAAGTCAGGACCAGGCAGGCACTGTGGCAAAATGGACAATGAGAGCTCCATGTAAAGCAGAGAGCAGGAAAATCCTGAGCCCTGCCAACTGAGGCCACACAAGAAATTGGGCCCATTCTCCAAGTGGAAGCTAAAAATGCAAACTTCTATGTAGTAACTAAGCCAAATTTTAAGTAAACATTGTCCAGCCAAACAAAATCCATCTTCAGCCTAAGGGAGTCTGCATTGCCTCCTCTAATCTGGATAGCAACTAATGGCAAACTGCAGAAGGGGCTCAGAGCTTCTGGTGGGGTGGACAGGCCCTTTCACAAGGGGCACACAGTCGGTTTTCAGTGAGGGGTTTGCCTAGGTTTGTACACATACATGTGAAACAAAGGTGCAAGCATTATTATTTTTTAATTGCTGCTGTCTCTCTTTCCCTCTTTCCCCCAATCCTTTCCAGAAATGGAAGCGAAAAGGATCTTTCATCCAGCATTCCATCAGCGGCCTCTGCCTGGAGACAAAGCCTGCCCAGCTGGTGACCAGCAAGTGTCAGGCTGACACCCAGGCTCAGCAGTGGCAGCTGCTGCCACACACATGACAATAGCCCCGGCCTGCGGTACCTTTTGCATGAGACTTTGGGACCAGAAGGGGGTTAGGGTGGGGATCAAGTGGGCCGCTTCCATCTCCTCACATTTTTGCCAGGATCATCAGCAAACACCCCTGCGACGTGTTTCTCCGAAGCTTGGTCTAGGGAGGGTGCAGGGGGCCACCCTGCCAGGTTCCGGGAGAGGCAATGGTCAGGGTGCCGGGCTGTTGCTGGCAGACTGGGCAGGTGCCCCTTGTCCTCTCCCTTGGCCCTTCTTGGGCCCAGACAGTGGTGTGGGATCCTCCCCATGTTGCTTGGGGGTAGCAAGGACAGAAGCCTGCACAGGGACCACCTGGGATCCTGGGGCTGGTGTGGGGAGAGCAGGAGAAGAGGAAGTGGGCAGTGTTTGTGGAGAGGCTGGGGAAGAGAGGGGAAAGCTGGAAAGAGAGAGAGAGGGAGAAGAGAGGGGCCGCCTGCAGGGGTGGGTAGCAACTAGGAAGGAGGTGAGCTCAGGAGCCTGTCCGAGAGATGCCAAGCCCAGGGCTTGGGTGTTGTAGGAAGGTGATCCTGGGAAAAAGGATGGGCACTTTGCAGAACACAGATGGAGCAAAGCATTAAAGAACAAGGCCTCAGGACTTCATGCCACCCCCCTCTCACCAGCCCCACGCTGAGCCTGACATCCCCCAGTCCTGTCTCTGGGGGCCCACAGGTCCAGCAGGAGGCTGCGGAGGGACCTGGGGTGTCGTTTTAAATGGACCCCTCTTTGGTTTGGCCATGTGCCCACCAAGACCTCTCTCAGGCCTTAACAACCAGCTGGGCCCCGTCGCCTCTGCCTGAGCCCACTGGAGGATGGGCGGCCACATGTTCTGTCATGTGCAGCCTCCTGCTCTCATAGATCACTGCCTCTGTAAATACAGCACCACGAGTCAGGGTGGCCAGCAAGAATGGGACCTCCTTTCTGGACCAGAACCTCCCCTAAGTGACTAGAGCCTAAGCCCCCAGGCCAGACCTCATTCAGTCCCTTCCCCTAAGAGCAGGGATTCCCTCCAAGGCTCAGCTCTTACAGTGTGCGGGGAAGCTGGCTGTTGGCTTCTGTTTGAGTAGATAATTCCCAGATCCTTCTCCCAGCCCCTGAAAACACAACTTCCACTCCTCCTCCGCGGCCCTGTTTTGGGATCCCCCCTTCCCCCAGACCTCCTCCCCAACCCATTCTGCCCTGTGCCACTGGCTTAAGCAGTGTGATCCTGGGGAAAGACTGTCGGTACTGGAAGCCCTGGCGTCTCTGTCCCGATGCAGACTATCCTGGTGTGAACACCCGTACCTGGTCTTACACAGAAAGTATATGCTCATGGCGATTTCATGGATTCCAGAAGGTTTAGGAAACTCCAGAAATTGTCCCCACAATACCACATGATGTGTGTGCATATATTCGTTTTTTCTGGGGAGAAGGCCTACGGACTGACTTTCCCGGCTCCTTAAAGAGCTCTGCTCTACAGCGGAGCCACCATCTAGCGGAGCTGCCCGCCCCCGCCCCCCGTGCCTAAATCACCATCGCCCGTTTCCCCCACATGGCTCTTGGGTGAGGAGCAAGTGTCCATGGTCTGCAGCACCACCCTTAGCGTAGTCCAGCGCTCTCCTCTCACCAGCGCCCCTCGGAGTGCTCCTGTGCCCAGAAATGCGCAAGCCTCCAGACAACACAGGAATCCTTCCCCTTGGTGGCCTCACTGTCCCTGTCTTCTATTGTGAAGTTTCACTGCCGCTGTCCCATCCCGGGATCCCCTGTCCACTTGGGAAGCCTCCTGCTGCAGCTGAGGACAGAACCGGGGCCAGACCGAAGTCTTCCTTGGAGCCTCAGCCGGCTCGGGTGTGGGCTTCTCGTAAAAGTAAGGACTGCAGCTCAGAGCGCCTTTGAGAAGATCTCTTCCTCACTTCTATGGTCACCAGGCTCTGTGCTTGTCAGCTGTCCTTTGTGGGGACTCAGCCCAATTCTGGTTTTGCTTTTCCTCTTCTTGACCAAAGCATGTGCCACTAGCTGTCCTTGAGGACGTTGTCTTTATGAAACACACACCCGGAATAAAACCACTTATTACAAGTTCGCACGCACCAGCACCTTCCTTTCCCACTCCCAAGCCTGCCCTTCCTAGCGCTTCCCTCGCCTGGGAACAGTTGGGTCTCACCTGTGTAGATAAGACTGCATGGGCTCAAGTCCAACCCTGTCCTGCACATCGGGCGTGCACTGGGAGACTCAGAAGTGGCCCTGCTACGAGGCAGGCCGGGACCAGAGCCCAGGGACCAGTGAGTGTTGTACTGAGCTTGGCCTGCTGTTGCCTCACAGCGGGACGCTGCTGAGCCTTGGAAACACACATCCAGGGACTTCTCTCAATCGACGTGGCCCCCCACCACTGGTGCCTTTAGCCAACTCTCTGTCCTTACCTGGGAGCCAGGCCTGGCCCCTGTGAGCTGCCCTTCCCCTCCACTACTACACAAGAAAGCAGTGGTAGAATTCAGGCAGGATATTCAAAATAATTCTAGAAAAGAGTCCTATCAGCCTAGGCTCGCTCAACCGGATAGCAGATGCTCAGCTTAATGTTTCCTTGGAAACCAACTGGAAACCCCCACCAACTGGAAACCCCCACCAACTGGAAACCCCCACCAACTGGAAACCCCCACCAACTGGAAACCCCCACCAACTGGAAACCCCCACCATTGCTGTGCTCAGAAGCCGAATCTACTCAGGTAAAAATAAATGCTGCTTCATTACACATAGAAACTGTAGCAGGTGATCCAGGGTGCCACTAACCTCCCCTGGACTCGGTCATTTCTGCCCCCGCCTCTACTTTTCTCAGGGTTTCTGACCTAGGATTCCCTGGAACTTCTGCTCCTGGGCCATGAGGATCATGGAGCAAAGCCCTGGCTGGCGACTGTACCTGATCTGGCTGCAGCATCTGGCTTGGTGTGGACGTAGGAAGCGAGTCCCTGCAGAAGCCTCTGGCTGCAGTCTCCACCTGTCCCTCTGTGCCCCTGCCCCTCGGGGAGCCCAGCCCACTGGCCAACCCTTGTCAGGCTTCTTGGCCAGGCTGGGCCGGTTTCCCTCTCTCCATCCATTGTCACCCAGCCTTGATGGGCTCTGGGCTTGGTTTCTGCTCAGCCAGGCTATGTTCTCTTGCTGTCCTCCAAGCCTGCCTCTCTCACCTCCCTTTTCTCCCCGGAACTGAAACTGTTTGCCTTTAGCCAGGCCCCCTCGAGCACTCAGAAAAAGCCCTGAGGCTGGCCATTAAGAGCGGGCTTTACATACCTGGGCAGGGTGGCTGGCACGGCCAGGGGAACATCTGCCCTGGGGCTGGCCTCCCGTTCCTCCAGTCAGGAGCAGTTGGTGATCCTGGGCTTTTGGGACCTGGTTTCAGTTTGTTTTGCTTCTTCAGTACTGGGGAATCAAGCCCCCGGGCCTCATATGTGTGAGGCAAGTGCTCTACCTTTGAGTATATCCCTGTGATGTTTGAGGGCAGCATCTTCCCCAGCCCCTCATAGAGTTTTCCCTTCCGCAGCTGGGGGAACTAGCCCAGATGACATTGCTGTTCTCCAAAGGGTCTGGTACCCCAAGACCTGGGGAAATGGATGGGATACAGTCCTCCTCCCCAGGGAGCCAGACAGGCTGGAGTTCATGATGTCCACATGTCATTCCAAGGGTGTACTCAGTATGGTTGGTATTTGTGTGTCCTTTGTGCTGTGGAGTCAGTGTCCCTCTGGAAAGCAGGAGGGGACCCTTAGGGTCTCTTGTGATAAGAAGTCTTCATCACCAGGAACTTGGCAAAGCCCGAAGGTGGATCCAAGGTATGGCCACCCACTCCTGGCCACAACTGAGCAGGGCTATTTGAGTAGCCTGCTGGATTGAGGCCCCAGAGCCACCGGAAGTCAACTCCCTCCTCTCGGTCTACCCTGTGAAGGACGAGAGTGAAACGGACTCTACCGACCCCATCTGCCAGGCCAGCCCCCCTCTGCGGCTTTAGAGCTGTGTAATCTGGAATCAATCATTTCATCTCAGCCTTGGTTTCCTGACCTGTAGAATGGGGGCACTCATAACCCTCCAGGATTTTTGTAAAGATTGATCTATTAGATGATTACAAAGCATCTGGACCTTTCTAAATGCTAAGCAAATCTATGGTATTACTATTATTACTAAGCATTTTCTGAATGCCTGCCACATACCAGGCCCTTTTTGATAGGGATAGCACAAATGTTAACAAGACAGAAAAGGAATCTGCCCTCGATAGCTAATATTCTAGCAAGGAGAATGGGAAGATAACAGTCTGTAAACTGTAAGAACTGTAATACCACATGATAAATGCAGGAGTCATAAGACCCACAAGAGGGGTCACTGAATGGCTCTGTCCCTCAGAGAAAGCTTTCAGGACAGCTCGAAATCACACCATGAGCTATGCCTGCCTCGGGCTGGGTGAGGTCCAGTTAAATCAGCAGCCACCCTTGCCGGGCTGGCAAGTGCAACAAGCCCTTTGCCTGGTGGCCTGTGACTCTCTACACACAGCGTCCTAGGGAAGTGGGCCAGTCGGTGACTCGGAACTCTGGAAGGGAGCCGTGGAAGCCAGACAGACGGGCCTCGGCCTCCTGGGCCTGGGCCCATTTCTCCAGGGCTCATTTTTCTCCCTGTAGGGAGCAGTGGGACCAGGAGGCTTGGAAAATGGTGCTGCTTGTCTGGAGAGAGTGAGCACGGTGGTCAGGAGGCTCCAGGAAAGACTTGTTTTCTCCTTCCTCTGATCCCCTGGAGCCATCTGAAAATCAATCCCATCTTGCAACAAGTTGTCTTTCAAATAACTGTTTCTCAAGGTGCCTGGAAATGGATGTGTTCCCAGCTCAGGCTAGACCCGCTGCTCAGAATCCCTATATGTGTAGTGAGCGGCCTGGGTCATGCGGGTGACACGGAAATCTTCAACCCCCAGCAGGAGGAGAGCTGGAGGCTGGCAGGGGCAGCACTCAGGGTAAGAAGGCAACTTCTGCAGCGTTTCCCGAGAAGCCAGAAGAAAGTGGGGACCAGATCTAGGAGCCAGAGACCAAGCCAAGCAGTGGTGAACTGCTCCCCTGGGGCATCCTTGGCTGAGGGGATCCAGAGCCAGCAGGAGAGAGTGGGATCTGGGTCCACACGGGCAGATGACACTGAGGGCGGCTGCTAAGGGGACTCCTGCTGTCCACGTGGTGGGCTTCTCAAAGCTGCAGAGCCATGGGTTTCACTGCTCCCTCGCCTGTGATGACTCTGCTTTCCAAACCTTGGTTGCTGGGGAGGAAGGAGAGTACAGAGTTGTTAACAGGGTAAAGTAATGGGGACAGCAGTGGCACTTTAGGCCTTCGCTGGGTGTGCTCTGTGGCCCACTGACATCATATGGGGTCAGCCCCGAGACTGCCTTCATCCTGGGTGAGCCCCTCTGGACTGACCTCCTACATCACCCACATTCTCATGCCTGTGGGAGTAGCATGGAGCACAGCCTCAAGCCCACAATGGATGGCATGCTGAGCATCTACCCCACCATGGACACAGAATGGGCTCCAAGGGGCCCTGCAAACTACTATCATCAAAGGCTCCAGTGCCCACCATGTGCCAAGGCAACACCAGTTTCAACCTTCTCTCCCTTACCCTGTACTCCAGCCAAAAGGACTATATTCTCCCCGCCCCCTCTTTTCTTGTATCGAGGATCCAACTCAGGACCTTGTGCTTGCAAGGCAGGCAGTGGAACCACTGAGCTAAATCCCTGGCCCCTCTATCTTTTTTTTTTTTTAGCAGTACTGGAGATTGAAGCCAGAGACATTTTACCACTGAGCCACATCCCTAGTCTTTTTACACATTTTAAGAAATGGTCTTGCTAGCCAGATGTAGCGATGCACGCCTGTAATCCCAGCACTCAGGAGGCTGAGGCAGGAGGATCACTGTGAATTCG